TCTGTCTTGCCTCTTGCCCTGCCCTCTGGGGCAGCATTCGCTGGTGCCCATCTCTGACCCTTGATCAGCCCCTTCGGCCTCTCGCTGGCGCTTGGGGAGGAATTTGTGGCACAGGCGCTTTGATGGGAAGAGATGGGGTGGGAAGGCAAGGGAGAGGGCGGTTCTGGATGTTATCCACCCAGCACTCCCAGAGGAATGAACAGCGGGGCTGGGATCAGACCACATCGTTTTACAGCCCCTCATTTTCTGGAAGACACACTGGAGGTTTGGGGAGATTATGTGACTTAGCCACATGCATAGCAACATGGGAAACCCCTTTTCCCTGTGGGGAAGAGGAACCAATGGTTCAGAATGGAACCCAATAAGTAACTCCCCGTTCCCTGTCTCTCATTCTCTTCCTCCTCTGTTTCTCCTCTGCCTTCCTTCACCATCACCTCATTTTTTTTAATGCCTGATTCATTCCAGAAGGATTTAAGGCAATAAAAAGTGATTTTGGTTTCTCGGAATCCTGTCTTTTCCAGCACTTTCTTGGACCATTTTCCCATAGAGACTTGCTTCTAATGACTTTGGTGGAACTTGATTTTTCTATGATTAATTCAAAGAACTGACAACTTTCTTTGCTGTTGAGTAATCTTTATCTTCCAGGGAAGAGGAGAGTAAAAGGGAGGTGAATTAGAATGCTAGTTCTAAGACACTTAGTCATCCAGATAAAAGAACATTTACTAAGGTCTTTTACGGGACACTGGTGTGAGAATTAGGAAATATCTTAACTGGATATTTGATATTTAAGGATTATTGTTAATTATTAAAGAATGGTTAAGAAGCAGTTTTTTATTTTTTGGAAGATTTTTTTTTTATCTAGAAGGAATAGTTAGAAGGAGTGACAGATAATAATAATTCACTGGTTTACACTCCGAATGGCTGTAATGAGTGGCACTGGGCCAGGTGCCACTAAACCAGGAGTCTGGAACTCCACCCTGTTCTCTTATGGGTAGCAGCGCCCAAGGCTTGGGTCATCTTCCACTGCTTTCCCAGACACTTCAGTGGGGAGCTAGATTGACAGCGGAATAACCAGATCTCATACAGGCACTCATGGGGTGCTGGTATTGCAGGTGGCAAATTAGTACACTACATCACACTGCCAACCCTGAGTCTTAATTTTTTTTTTAAAAAAGGACACCCACCAGGATATTTATGGATAAAATTAGGTGCTGTTTGAAATTCACTTAGAGAATAACCTAGTGAGTGGAGAAGAAAACTAGATGAAGCAAATTTGTAGAGTAAAAATTTTGAAATCAAGTGATGGTTCTTCCACTGACCTTCTTTATCAAACTTTCTTTAGTAAAATCTCTAGACAGTTTATTTAAAAAAATAAAAAAGTCTTTGGGAAGCTTTGAGATAAAGCGGGCTAAGCCGCTGCTTGGGGCCAACATCCCCTAAGGGAGCACTCACTCACTGGTGTCTTTTGAAAAGCCTTAAAGTCCTTCAGGGCCCGATTCTCCTCTCGCATGCCCGCTGGCAGGTGGGAGGCAGAAGTGACATTGAGTGGAAACTTTCCTCTTGGCACTGCTGCTCATTGCGGCTGCTCTTCCTGAGCCCTGCTCTGTGGGTGCCAGGAGGTTCGGAGACGCTGCCCCCTCCTGCGCAGCGGCCAAGAAGTGAGGGGTCTCTGGGTCTGCGGTGGGGGCAGGAAGCCGCTGCCTCATTGTCGTTCTGTCCAACGCTGGAGCTATCCTTTAGGCAAAGATGCCGTCCATCTCTGTTGAACCTCAGAGTCATCAGGTTCAAAGTCCTTCACCATGAGTAGATGTTTATGCCCCGAGTACTTGACCGTTGTCAGTCTGCAGAGGTACCTCGTTGGGTGGGAAGTAGCAATTTTCAGGGAGAGGCAGGAAGGGTGAGAGAGTGCAAGGTTTCTTGCTAAATACCACCCATATGATTAATCTCAGAGGGTGTGGAGAAATGAAATAAATGCAGTGTGATCCATGACTAGGCCCTGGGTCCCTTCCCAGGGTTCTTCCTCTAACACGTTCATGCCCAGACAAGGTGGAGCCACCAAGAGGTCCCTGTCCACCTCGTCTTTCTCTTGGTCCCCATCAAAGGATGGACAGTTGTCAGCAGAGCAGATGGGGCTTGGGGCACTTGCACTTCGAAAAGTACCCCCTTTGAGCCTCCTGTGAGTTCCCTTTTCCTGCTGGTTCTCACACTGCCCCACCCTGCAGAGGTGAGAGATGACCTGGTTCTCTGTGCCGTGTTCTGACTGGGGGCCATGTGCAGTGACGTGGAGCACACAGGCTTCAGATCCGGGGGGAGGGCAGTCTAAAGGCAGCAGCGATGGCGGCACCTTTGTCCCTTCTGCTGTGGTAGGGATGTACCTGCTTCCTCCGTTACCGTCCAGGACCTGGGAGGATGACTGGCTAATGGAGGCGCTCAGCAAATACTGAACAATGAAGGAAGTGAACCTTCGACAGCCCGCTTTCACTAGAGTCAGGAAGATAGATTTCAACTATACTTTTAAAATTCTCTTTTTAAAGATTCATTTATTTTTATTTGAGAGGTAGATTTTACAGAGAGAGAAGGAGAGAGAGTAAGTGAAGGTCTTCCATCTGCTGGTTCACTCCCCAAATGGCTGTAATGGAAGAGCTGAGCAGATCTGAAGCCAGGAGCCAGGAGCTTCTTGCTGGGTCTCCCATGTGGGTGCAGGGGCCAAGGACTTGGGCTGTCCTCCAGTGCTTTTCCAAGGACATAAGCAGCAGGCTAGATTGGAAGTGGAGCACTTGGCACATGAACCAGTGCCCCTAGGAGATATCAGTGCCACAGGGCAGGGGGTTAGGGTACTATGCCACCGTGCTGGCTCCTAAAATTCTCTCTTAAATATATATATATATATATATATATATATTTATTTATTTATCTGGAAGGCAAAGTGGGGGAAGGAGAGGGTATGAGATAGTTCTATCTGCTGACTCTACATGACTACAACAGCAGGGCCGGGCAGGCTCCGGAAGCCCCATCCAAGTCTCCGTGTGAGTGAATTCAGTTACCTACACCGTCACGGGCCACCTCCAGAGCAGGAAACGAACTGGAAGAGAGCTGGGGCTTGAATCCTCTGACACTGTGGGCATCCCAGGCAGTGTCAACTGCTGTAACCAACATCTGCTCCAGCATAGCTGGGGTTATTTGGTTCTAACTCACCACATGTGATATTTCAACACGCAGTGAGCATATATTTGCATATGTGCATTACATGTGTCCTCATATGCATACTTCCTAACTGTGCTATTTGAATAAAAGTATTCCGGTACAGTGACCATCTCACTGTATGACAAGACAATCTTACATCTTAGGCAAATTCCTTCTGCCTTGAGGCAGATACGCTTTTGTCTTGGACACTTGTAGAGCAGATGGCGTACTTTGCGTCACATTGCACTGCTATGTACCTTATGATTTCATCTACTCAAAGAAGGGAGGCTGTTCTCTGCTTTCTCCGGTGATCCCAGGAGACTGTAGCGGTTGGTTATTTTCAGGCCCACTGCTGGTTTGTGACGATGAAATATGGGGCGATTTATTCTGCTGTCTGGAAAGAGGCCGGAGTTAGCCGGGGCCTCGTGCCTTCTGCTTCCCAATCCCAGCCTCGCTTGTTTTGGATTTCCTACAGTACAACCCCTCTCCATGTCTGAACCAGGGGAGACCAGAGCCCACACTGCATTCCTCGAGGTGGCCTCAGTGAATGCCTGCCTGGCCTGAATGTTGGCGTCTTTTGTCAGCTTCTCCTTTCCAGTCTGCTTAGACCCTTCCATCCACCATCAGTGGTCAGTCTTCTCGGGAGGAAAAGAAAATCCCTGCACACAGAGCACATGACCAAAGGAAAGGGGCAGCGTTATGGGAAATTACAGCAGTAAAGGCATTTATACTGAGGAACCGCCAGGACTATGGCTGTGTCTAGCCCTGTTGAATTTCAACACCTTGTGCGGTATTGACTTTGGAATTTGAGAGCCATCTGTTCTGAGAAGATGTCTAAAATCTCCTTCCTCTTTTCCAATTTCCCAAATTTCCTTTCCCACTTGTGCCCCCAACCCCCTAGAATTTAGATTTTGCAGGGTTTTGGCGGATGGCTGGGTCTAAAATTCCCATGGGGGAAGTGGAAGTGGAGATAGGAGCCCTTGTCCTGGGAGATTATAGATACGCAGGAAGCAAGTTGGGGGGACTCTGGGAGATCCGTGAATCTTCTTAATGGATGAGTAGATAACCTGCCTGGTGGCCCGTCCATCATCTGGGGCTCCGCAGATGGAGCCATAAGAACCATCTGATGAGGGAAGGGGGTGGGGGAGAGAGACCTCACCTTGCATGGTCAGGGTTGGGCTGAGGCCCAAGGTGAGAGCTGGAAGCTCAATCCAGCTTCCCCTGTGGGTGAGTCCCACTGCTGGCTCCTGATGTGCTAATGTGAGCAGCTGGAGTCAGGAGCTGGAGCATGCCATTACCTGGTCGCTGTGCACAAACACCTGCTCCAGATGTCTGCCTTTCTGTAGAAAAATCTGCACTTTGGGAAAGTCCTCATCCATGAGAGAATGGGATGCTTCCAGGGCATATGTGAAACACAGCCAGAAGCAGAAGAAAAATTGAAGACTGATAAATTAAGATTCAAGTGTTAACTGCAGGCCTGACCATCTCTCTGTTCATGATTCCTGAGTCAGCCGAGGGCAAGTCAAGAAAGAAATAACTTGGCAAGCTGTTCCTTGAAAAAAAAATTTTTTTTAAAAAATCTCTTTAGAGGGCCAATTCCTCTGGCTTCAAGGTCAAGATGAGGGTGGTTAAATTGGATGGGGAAGCATGGCGTTCTACTCCTATCAGTCTTTAGGGTTTGCTGTAGTGCTCACTTTGGCAGCACATACACTAAAATAAGGTTTTAGCAAATTCATTTCCTAATTCATTCGTTCCTAAATTCATCTCCTAATCAGTTGCATGTGTCTGAGTTTGTTGAGACTCACTCTCCCCCACCCCGGTTTTGTTTCGATCCAGGACCAGGATGAGTTCCACCGGAGCTCCGCAGACTTCCCGAGCTCCCGAGGGTTGCCGCTTCGACCTGGCATCCAGGTACTATATGCTCTGTGACTTGAACGCCACGTGGGGCATCGTCCTGGAGGCGCTGGCCGGTGCTGGAGCCGTGACCACAGTGGTCTTCATGGTTGCTCTCCTGGTCCTCGTCTGCAAGGTGCAGGACTCCAACAGGCGCAAGATGCTGCCCACGCAGTTCCTCTTCCTCTTCGGTGTGTTGGGGCTCTTCGGCTTGACCTTTGCCTTCATCATCAGACTGGACGGGGCCACAGGGCCCACGCGCTTCTTCCTCTTTGGTGTCCTCTTTGCTCTCTGTTTCTCCTGTCTCCTGGTGCATGCTTTCAACTTGACGCAGCTCGTGCGGGGCAGGAGTTCGCTCTCCATGCTGGTGACTCTGGGCCTGGCGTTGGGCTTCAGCCTGGTGCAAGACGTCATCGCCATCGAGTATGTGGTCCTCGCCATGAACAGGACCAACGTCGACGCCTTCTCGGAGCTCTCGGCGCCTCGCCGCAACGAAGACTTTGTCCTACTGCTCATCTACGTCCTCCTGTTAATGGCCCTCACCTTCCTTATGTCCTCCTTCACCTTCTGTGGCCCCTTCACTGGCTGGAAGATACACGGGTCCCACGTCTACATCGCCATGCTCCTGTCCATCGCCATCTGGGTGGCGTGGATCAGCCTGCTTTTGGTTCCCAGCCCGGGTCCCAAGTGGGACGACACCATCCTGAGCACGGCCCTGGTGGCCAACGGCTGGGCTTTCCTGTTTGCTTATGTTGGGCCCGAGTTTCGGCTGCTCACAAATCAGCGCGAACCCACGGATTATCCGCTCGAGGACGCGTTTTGTAAACCTCAGCACATGAAGCCGAATCAAGGGATGGAGAACAGAGCATATTTTGAAGATGATATGTCTCAAGGTACGTGGCCTGGCATGCACACCTGCCATTCAGGCAACAGTTTAGGAGGTCCATGTCCCACATGGGAAAGCCTTGTTTTGGCTCCCAGCTGGGGCTCCTGACACCAGCTTCCTGCTCATTGTAGACTCTGAGAGGTGGTGCTAATGACTCAAGTCATTGAATTTCTGTCACCTGTATGGGAGACCTGGATTGTCTGGCTCCTGCCTTTGGCTCTCACTCTGTTATTCTGCCTGCCTCTCAAGTACACAAATACAGATTTATTTGAAAGAGAAAGATAGAAGAGGGGCCAGGGTGGTACTGTAGTGGGTAAGGTAGCTGCCTGCCGTGCCAGCAACCTGTATGAGTACCGGTCCAAGTCCCAGCTGCTTTATTTTCTCTCTGACTCTCTGCTAATGGCCTTGGAAAAGCAGCAGAAGATGGCCCAAATGTTTGGGCCACTGCCACCCATGTAGGGTATCTGGATGAAACTGCTAGATCCTGGCTTTGACCTGGCCGAGTGCTGGCCCTGGCAGACATTTGAGAAATGAACCAGTGGATGGTCAAATGTTGCTTCAAATCATTGAGCCTTAGCAGGTCCAGGTGCACAGAGCAAGGGTTTCGCTGGGGTGCTGGGGTGCTGGGGTGCTGGGGAGAAGATGCTGTTAGCACAGACCTGCAGGAGCCTCAGTTCCCAGGGATCCTCACCCAGCCCAAGAGCCACATCTCACTGTGTGTCTCCAGGCTCCTAGTAGGGGAGAGATCATATTGAACATAAAAGGATCAAATGATTTTGCTCTTCTCTGGAATTAGAAGACAGATTTTCTGCTAATTTTTTAAAAAAGATTTTATTTGTTTGAAAGGCAGGATGAAAGACTGAGGGAGACAGAGAGAGAGCAACAGAGTGAGCACCCCCCCATCCACTGGTTCACTCTCCAAGTAGCTGCAATGGCCGGGGCTGGACCAGGCTAAAACTGGGAGTGTGGAATGCCATGTGGATCTCCCACACAGGTACAGGGATCCAAGCACTTGGGCATCTTCTGCATTAACGTGGAGCTGGATGGGATGTAGAGTGGCCAGGACAGGAATTAGAGCCCCTATGAGATGCTGGCATTGCAGGTAGCAGCTAAACTCTACAGGTGCTCTTATGAGAAACAGGCTGGAGCGACAGCCAGCGGCTCCCTTTGCTAGTGGGATGTACTCATTGAGCTTCGGAGTTGATGTGGATCTGTGAGTCTAATCACTATGCAGGGTGGGGAAACACCTTTAGGATGGGTGAGTGAGTAAGCCAGGTCTGGGCTTGGGTGATAACAGCCCGGGATGCGGCGCCTCCTGGCACTTCTGCCAGAAGCAGCTGTGGTCTCCTGTGGTTGCTTAGGAGCCTTCAACGAAGGGGAGGGGCAGGAGGAGCAGGCAGGTTCTGCGCCCCAGTCCCTCCCAGGCACTCCTGGGGGTCCCTCTGGGCCTAGGCCTTGCTGCCTGCCTTTCACTGTAGGAGCTGCTCCCGTTAGTTTCCCCTCCAAGGAATGCTTTGCTGCTCACTCACCCTGCTCACCAGTGCCCGCCCCCTTGTCCCAGCACCCCGAAGTGTTCCACATGGTGGGAGCCTCACTCCCCAGGCCATACAAGCTGCACACTCCTGGCTGGAGTCACTGCATTTGCCTGCCTCTGCAGCTGAGGTCACGGAGCTTCGGGCCCCTGCCTGCCACCTCCCCCGTCTCCTTGACGCTTTCCGGAGTCTTCCTTGGGCATCGTGCTGTCCTGTGCGTGTTAGATCCGTTGAATGTTCTTATGAAAGTCTGTCTCATCCGATAGGTCTCTGTCCTTGCCATAACTTCCTCATTCTGCAGAGTCACCTGCGGGCCATGGATGATTCTGGTTTGTCCTTAGAGTCCTCACCAGCTGTTTACACACATTTACTGAGTGAATTGGGCAGGTGGTTCCTGTGGGAAATAAAAGACCTGCTTTAGATTCCATTTGTGGTGGTTACATGTGTTTGTTCTTCTCAACCAGTTCTCCCAAAAGACACAGAAACCAATTGTTCACCAAAAAATACATACAGAGTAGATATATATTTATGTATACAGGAAGTAACTTTCTAAGGAAGAAGAGAAATGCTGCTGAGATCCTGTCTGGTACACGTCTCATCAGCTCTACATTTGAAAAGACATTTAAAATGTTGTATTTGGGGGGTTGGTTCTGTGTCATAGCAGGTTGAGCCACCACCTGCAGTGCCGCCATCTGATTTGAGTTCCGGTTCTGGTTGTTCACTTCCGATGCAGCTCCTGAGGAATCACTTAGGATTTCACCAATGTACCTGAGTAGTCAGTGGACGGCGGCCCAGGTCCTTGGGCTCCTGCACCCACGCGTTAGACCTGGAAGACGCTCTGGGCTCCTGGCTTTAGGCTGGCCCAGCCCTCATCATTGAGGCCGTTTCTGGAGTGAACCAGCAGATGGAACAGCTGGTTTCCTCTGACTCTGCTTCTCTCTCCTCTCTCTCTCTTTCTCTCCTTCTTCCCAGTCTCTCTCTCCCTCCCTCCCTGGAATTCTGCCTTTCAAATAAATAAATGTGTATACAATTATTTTAAACATTTATTTATTTAACTTATTTGAAAAACAGCGAGAGAGAGGAAGAGGAGAGGGAGAACTTGCATCCGCTGGTTCACTCCCCAGATGTTTGCAGCAGTTGGGGCTGGGTCAGGCTGAAGGTCTCCCGTGTGGGTGCCTCAGTTCCTGAGCCATCACTGCTGCCTCCCAGGAACCGGGCCTGGAGGCAGAGCCAGCATTGGCATCTGGGGGCTCTGATATTGGCACACCAGTGTCACAAGCGCCTGGGCCACACATCCTCCTGTAAGTGACCTTTCCAGTGTGTTTTGAGGTGGTCCTGGCATGAGGTGGCCTCCTTCTCTAAGTTTTGTTCTCTAAGAAATTCCAAAAGGCCTTGCAACGTGATTTTCATTTACTCAGCCAGCACTGAGCTTGCTCTGCAGCTGGCCCGGGCCTCAAGCCAGTGATCTGAGGAATGTCAAGTTCACTGAAGAGATGGCTCTGAAACAGACACGATGTGAGGCTCCGATGAGTCATGCGGCAGGCTGCACGCAGGCGGGGTCCCCAAGGTTTCAATTTTTCGTCTTGCTCTGTTTCAGGCCGTGGAGAGATAGGGGACACACTCCACGCCCCTTACGCCACCCATTTCCAGCTCCAGGTAAGATCACCTTCTCTGCCCTGCTCTGGGAACTGCCTCACCTGCCCTTCGGGGCCAGGGGTGTCCCCACAAGTGAGGCTTTGGGAGGAGGGGCAGGCGGGCGAGTGGCCCGGGAAGGCGTGGGTTGGATGACGTGGCTGCTTCCGTTTCAGGATCGGACCCCCCAGAAAGATTTCTCCATCCCCCGGGCTCAGGCCCGGCCCAGCCCTTACAAAGGCTACGAAGGCAGGAAGGAGGGCAGCTAACAGGCTTCGCCAGAGCTGCGTGTGACCACCCTGCCACATAGCGAGGCGCGAGGTGCCCACCAGTGGAATCTTCCAGGAAATCCCACCCAGGACGTTTGAGGGGTCCTCTGACCCCACTCCCACCACAACCATTCCTCTCTTACGTCCAAGCCGAGGCAGGTGAGAAAGACTCGAGGCCCCAGCAGCTTTTATGCCTAACTTGGGATTCTTTCTCTACGTGGGAGTCTTTGAGCTGCCTAGACCCAGGTGTCACCGAGTCCTTGTCACTTACCTGTGACTGAAAGTGTGCACATCAGCCCTCAATCCTGGCATGCTCGGCCTCTGGGGCAAGCGCGTCCAGCTGCAAGCTGGGAATCTTCAGCCTGGAGCACGACTGGGAGCTGAGCGAAACCAACAGAGGCTGCACGCCTGGCTCTCTCCTGTGTGCCAGTCTCTTGGCTCTGCATCTGCCCGGCCTTCTGCGCTGGGTAGAGGAGGCTGTGGCCAGCCTGAAGAGACTGTCCCCAGTGTTCCCCAGCCAGTCTGCACCCGTGTCAACTCGCGGACCAGAGCTGCCCGTGGACTGGCTTTCCTGGACCCCTCCAGCACCGACAAGCGCAGTTGCTCCCGAAGACGAGTTTGCCTGCCGCTCCTGCAGGCCATTCTGGCACTGAGACGCCTCCCCTCGTCCAGCTTTCTGTAAATACGTTCCCGTTGTACTCCCCAGGGGGGCAATGTTATTGTATAATAAGTTATTCAGCCGGATATTCAATAAAGGTGTGGTGGTGATTTGTTTTTTTTTAAAAACATTTATTTATTTTCATTTGTATTGGAAAGGCAGAGAGAAACAGTTTGTCTTGTGGATTGCTCTCCCAACATGCCCACAGCAGCCAGGGCTAGACCAGGCTGAAATGAGGAGCTGGGAACACGATCCAGGTCTCCTCGCTGATAGGCAGGGACCAAGCAGCTCGAGCCGTCCTCTGCTGTCCCTCAGGATGGCCGTTACTAGGAAGCTGGAACTGGAGAAGGTGCTGGGACACTTTGATGTGGGACATGCGGGTCCTGGGCAGTGGCTTAAGCCCTGTGCCACATGCCTTCCCAATGGTGGCAGTTCTCCCTGCTGTAGCGGAGGTTCCAATGGCTCCAAGGCTCCCCGTGGGGCTTCATGTTGGGGCTGAAGTTCAAGGTTCATTCCTCTGAGTTTGTACTTGACCTTTTCCCATGTCCTCCTGAGACCTAAGACACGTCTAGAAACCAGGCAAGGTGAGAGCCGGGAAGGCTGAGTCCAGGGCAGTGGCGACCCTGGAATGGGGTCTGGGAACTTCAAAGTCAGGTGTGTATTTCACTGAGGTTTGATGGTCAGAGTGGGCAACTCATGGATGGGCTTGGTTCATGATTCTCTCAGTAAAAGACATGGCACCTGGCAATCCTAGAGACCGCAATGGGGGCCCGCGAGAGGAAGTCTCTCTCTGAAAAGGAGCAGGAAAACCCCCGTCCTTGGAGAGTGAATGACATGCATTGTTAGCTTGGCCGGTGCATCACTTCCTAGGAGCCGACATTCATCCCAGCAAGGGAAAGCTCGGGTGGGGCAGGGGCGAGGTGATGGGTTAGCTAACAACCTAGAGGTTATGTTCCACACAGGGTTGGCTAATAGACTTGGCTGTAACACAAGCCTAGTTTGGCATTGAAAAGGGAATGACAAATAATGACATGGATTCTTCTCAATGATTCTAGTCTTTTCCAAGGCTGCACCTGTGTGGGAGACCTGGAGGAAGTTCTTGGCTCCTGGCTTCGGATCAGTGCAGCACTAGCCATGGCTGTCACTTGGGGTGTGACTCATTGGGCGGAAGATCTTCCTCTCTTCTCTCCTCCTCTCTGTATATCTGATTTTGCAATAAAAATAAGAATCTTAAAAAAACCCAAACTGGATGGTGTCTGGGGTTGGCACTCATCGCTGCATGTCCTTGACTGCTTTCCCAGGCCACAAGCAGGGAGCTGGATGGGAAGCAGGACCGCCAGGATTAGAAACAGCAACCATATGTAATGCCAACACATTTACGGCAAAGATTTTAGCTGCTAGGCTACCGTGCTGGGCCCACAGGCTTGTTTTCGTTAGGAGTTCAACAGCCCTTTCTGATGCACCTGGGCTGAACCAGGATGTGCTGAAAGTGGAGCCCAGCTTGGTGTGTGGGGTATGCCAGCTGACTGAAGGCTGGCAAACGAGGTGCCATCTCCGTTCTCTACAAATGGGATAATGAACTAACTAATGATAATCTCTCATTTGTCATTGTCAGGAGAAAACGCTGCCTCTCATTGACCAGTGCTGCCATACCCTCTGTCTCCACTGGAGGGCAGTAGAACCCCAGCTTTCAGCCCGCAGCGACCCGGCCAGGTCAAAAACGAACGTGGAAAGTTGCCTTTCTGTGATGCCAGCTGCAGATTTGTTCAGCAGGCATGAAGAAAGGGGGTCTGTTTAAAGGGTTTTACTTAAGAGCTGCTTGTTCCCCACCTCCATCTTTTAAGAGTTCGGTCTCAGCCCGTTGGCAGAAGTTTCTTCGCCCTTTGGCCTATTTTCGTGAAGTTCTGCAGGGCGTTCCCAGCCCATCTGCAGGCAGCCTGGCGTCAGCTGATGGTCTCATAGGCTGTTACTAATATCAAGCCGTATTTACGGGGTGAGAACGTTGGCTTCCTGTCGGGAAGAGTGTGCCAAAAACAGAGTGCTCAGCCTGGCCCTTAAGCCTGTTTTCTCCAGTGCATCCCGAGTTGAAACCCTTCATTTCTCTTCAGACTTAATGTTTCTGCCAGGAAGCTGACCTGTGCCCAGCTGCTCCTTCCTTGCCCTCTCCCTGCTGTTGCTGCCATCGCTGGCCGGTTTGTCCATGACCCCATCCCCTGTAAAACAGGGATTACTTCAGAATGGGATTGCAGAGCAATGACTCCCTGGCGAGAAGTGCTGCGGCTCCAGGCTCGGTCAGCCTCCAGCTTGTAGACTGTTCCCCTTGGGGAGCTCTGTGGCTCCACCTTGTGGCTGTTTTCTGGAACTCCTTGTGTTCAGGGCAGCCCCAAGCTTAGTCCTTCTTTAACTTTAGGGTATCGATGCATCTGGGTGGGTGTCTGACCTTGATTGCTGCAACTCGCAAGATTTGTAAAATTTTCTTGACCTTTCTGGAGCACCGCAGCTGCTAAGATTTGAGAGTTGGAGTCCTCCTTTTTGCAGAGGAGGAATTTTGGACCTGGTGGAGTTGAGACAACCAGGAGTAGAGTTTGGGTGTCTGGTTTTTCTGCTGGGGGCAGTGGTGTGGTCCGTACTGGACTCTTTCCCCAAGGCAATATTTGAGAAAACGATCAAATGAAATGAAATGTCACACTTTCCAGGCCTTCCCCCCATTTCCCTTTGTCTACCCACACACCATCCCTTCCTCTGCCTTCTCCCCTGGGCGTCTTCTCCTCTCAGCATGGAAGCCGCAGGGAGAAGGGGTGAGAACTGGCTTTTCCTGGTTAACTGCAGAGTTTGGGAACACAGGTGCTGTAAGGAGGAGTCGCAAAGCAAGACAAAGGATCCATCTTCCTTTTCCCCAGCCAGTGGGATAATCCTTCAAGTTCCATGAGACCCATCTGGAGCCCCAAGCCCCACATTCTGTGTCTCTTCTGTGTGTGCCGCTGTGGCCCGGGGCCGCCCCTCACTCTTGTGCAGTGGGGAAAGCAGAGGGGGGAAGTCCTTGTAACTGCTGTGCTGCTACGACAGCTGGAGGCGTTGGCTGGAACCCTGTGTCTTACACACCAAGTCCACTCAGGAACCTTCAACGTGAACATGAAACTGGAGTGGAATGGGGTTAATCCAGTGTGGACCCAGTTGTGTTCAGCTCAGAACTTCTTCCCTGTCATGGCTTGCACATCTCACTGGCTTTGTATCAACTTCATTTGACAGTGTCTTCTGTCATCTGAAGCCAGGAACTTCCTCCAGGTCTCTTCTGTGAAATATAATTTTATGTGTGCAGAAATCCCATGGTTTATTATTGTTGTGTCCCCCCCCCCCCCTTTATTTAGTCCCTGCAGATGCTGGAGAGCCAAGAGACTGAGCAGCAGGTCCACGTGGGCTGCCCGCATCCGCCTCTCCCCGGGACGCCACGCTGCCTCTCCCCTGCCTTCCGTGACAGCGGCACAGGTGACTCAGTGGCTAGGCAGCCGGGGCGACAGAGTCCCCATGTCACCGCACAGGTGGCTGGGGGGTCCAGCTCATGCTGTTCTCCTTGGGCCTCTTTGGGGGGGGGATACTCGGTGTTTGGAATGAGGTTGCGCTAGATAAGCCTTGGGAGCCCCCTAACTCCTCGGGTTCTGGACTTTTCCTTGCCAAACGGCTGCGCCTCAGATTTGCATCTTAGCTGGTGTATTGTGGTAGACACTGTGTTCGTGCAGGCCCTCTCACAAAGGGGCTTGAGCCTTACCAGTCCAGGCTGCTGCCCGTCAGGTACGCGTAGCCAAGGCTCGAAACAGTGCTTCGCTCAGTCTAACAGACTCAGCTCTCATTTGTTTTAAATATGAAAAGCCCAGCCCATGCTGCTCTTTGCGCGTGATTCATTGCACAAGAAAGAATCCTATGATTTGTATTACTCAATGAAATCAAAAAGGTTTGTGGGTTGAACCTCTGTAGGGTGAGTTCAGTCACTTGAGTCATAGGTGCTTGAATGCTATGCACACTTGGGAGTCAGGAGGAGCTGGAGGGAGCCGCAAGCTACTTAGAGAGAGAGAGAGAGTCAGAGAGAGAGAGAGAGAGAGTCAGAGAGAGAGAGGTTTCACTGGGAGACAGGAGAGTGGGGGTGAGAGGATGGAAGAGAGCTGTCAAATGAAAGGAAAATTGTAAAGCAGAGATCTGCCAAAATATTTCCTTTCTCTGCTGTTTTGCTTTATTTATTATTATTATTATTATTTTTTGTCATCCATAATCTACCACAGGGCAAAAATAACTGTAAGTCACTTAGTGGGCATCTCCGTTGTCAGATCAACCCTTATTTTACTTCATAATGACCGCAAAGCACAAGAGTGGAGAAGGTGGCAATTTGAATAGACCAACAGGAAACCATCAAGTGCTTCCTTTAAGTGAATACGTGAAAGCAAAGGAGGGCGCTGCCAGCAGAGGGCGCAGAGCCTCCCGCCCTGTCCTCCAGCCGCGCGGAGTCCTTTCCGCAGGCGCTGTGTGACGGGACTTGGATACTTTTCCAGATCTCCGGGGCGGGGGGGTGCGCGTGTTGTTTAATTTTAACAGAAACCTGATGACATAAGCTGTATGCACAGTTCATGCTAATCCCAAGTACAACAGTCAGGTTCAGGCCTGAGGTTTTACGCAGGACTTCCTAACGTTTGCTTTAAGGGACACTGAGAAGATGGCCCGGATATTTTACGGGTAAGTGCTGGTTGCTGCCAGGTGCGGGTGTTGTGGGCTGCAGCCACCTCAGCGTTGGCTGCTCTAGGGCTCAGGGGACCCATGTCCTGCCCCACCTGCAGCCTCGCTTGAGGAACTCAGCCCCCTCTCTTCCAGTCCTCCAAGTCGGATTTCTGAACGGTCTGCTGCTTACAGTGGCTACCCTTAGGGTTAAGTTTTTCCTCTCAATTCTCCCTCCCAGAATCTTCTACCATCGCTTGGTATAATGCTGGTCTTCATGCCAGCAGGTCTTCAGAGAACAGACTCTCTGAAATTCACAGAAGGACACTTCCAGAGGCTGGAGGCTGTACCCTGGGGTGGCTGCATCCCGTCCTGGAGTGCCTGGGGTTGAGGCCTGGCCCTGCTCCCGCTT